AATATAATTTATGACTTGAAAAAATGATACAGGTTTAGCGGATTTTTTAACTTTTATTTTTAAGGTAAAATGGACGGTGTTTAATAATTTATTATAATATGTATTATTTTTAGATTTGAAACCTTAATTTTTTTTATAATCATAATTTTCAAGTTGAGATGATCGATGTAAAGGTTTTTCAATATTGGATTTACAATTTTTGATGAGTTATGAGGTGGTGATTTATTTATTTTGATAAGGCTGCAACCTTATTGAAACATTTTTCAAATAAAAATGATCCATAAATGGGATTGTATACAGTGATGTCATAATTAGTTACAACCATCTGATGTGAAATTTGATAGCTTGGGTGTCTCACAAAGTTTGAAAAAATTTCTCTTGAAGTTTGAATTTGGTCAAAAGAATAAAAGCATCCATCTAATTTGACATCGGGCAAGGTCAATTGTGACTACTTTGTATCAAAGATAAATGACTTCATTGTATATCTTTCTTTTATATACATACACGAATATACTGTGCATGAGAGTTGTGTTAGAGTGTTCATGCTATGGAGTAATTTATCATTGTATTAAACAAATTTTGAACATTTTTATATCATTGTTTTGTATATGAAGTATTTTTTTAATAGGGGTATTTTTAGTCATTAGGAGATGTATGATGTCATCCACATGGAGTGTGACTTCACTCACATGGAGCACATCATCAAAAATATATTTACTAAAGACAAACTCCATGTACAAAACAATGATTTATAAGTGTCCAAATTTGTTGAGTACAATGTTAAAAATTACTCTATACTATAAACATCCTATCATAACCTTATATAAAATTACAAACTATTACAAAGACTTCTAAATACTATATGTATAAATTTACTAGAACATTTGGATCTACAATATTTTAATCAATATACTATTAATTATATATTAAAAAATAAATATTATAAAATAAATATAAAGAACATATATATTTTTATATGGGATTGTATACTGCGATATCATTTATCTTTGTTACAAAGAGGTCACAATTACTTCTAGCCATTGGAAGTCAAATTGGGATGTCATAAAGTTTATTAAATATTTTTTGAATTTTGAGCATAGTCACTAATACTCTTACAACTACACCATTTAAAATCTAATGGATAAAAGTAATTGCGACCTGTTTGTACTAAAAGTGAATGATCTCTTTATATATTTTTTCTTTTTTATATCTAGATTTGTACTCAACCTGACTTAGTCAGGTCTAGGTCCCATTCATCTAGGTCCCAAACCAAGGGAAAGATCCAAGTCAGCTTTGAGTCTAACTTGGAATCAGTCGGGATGAGTCAGTTGAGGTCGAACCAACCCCACTCCACCCGTTTACAACCCTAGAATCCATTCACAATTTCAAAAATAGTGTAGACCTAGAACCATAGTTTTCAAACTCGGGCAAGTTGACTTGGCCTTGCCCTACTGCTGAGCCCGAGGAGCCCCGGGTCCATGGTACAATACATTTCTATGCAATTAGTGAATGAGAATTATTGAAATAATGGAAGACGCGGCTCAAAAAATATAAAAACCGCCCGAGTATGCAGATTTGGTGGATAAAACTCGGTTTTCAAAATATGAAAACTTTTGTGAATTGAAAATCCGAAATTCGGGAGTGGTTTAGATGGATTTTTGGAACCTTTTCGTGTTTGTAACAACAACATTATCTTTATGATAAGATTTGGGTTCATCAAAACCCAAATAGAACAACAATTTATTACAAAATTATAGGGTTTTAAGGGTTCTTTGTGCATCATAACAAAATCTGCCAATCTTTTTCCGCTCCGTCTTATTTATCTACTAAATAGAATGATTATGGGTTCTTTTTGAATCTATTGAAGTTATCTACAAAAGCCCTATGTTGATTTTCGTATTTATCGTGTTTAATCATTGTAAATTTTCAGTTTTAGGGTTCTATGCGTGATTTTTTTTTGGCCAAACCTCACAGTTCTTGTTGATTTCTACACCAAATAGGATGATATTTGGCTTGTTTTGAAGCTTTTGAAATCAGCTTCTAGAGCCCTATACAAATAAGTGGTTTTCTTTCACCATTATCAACTGATTTCGAGCAGCAAAGAGATAATATTGATAGGATGTGAAAAAATCGCCAACTCTATTATTTCTCTAATTACTCCATAAATTTTTTTATTTATCATTTTTAATTTATTTTGAAGCTTTTGAAATCAGCTTCTAGAGCCCTATACAAATAAGTGGTTTTCTTTCACCATTATCGACTGATTTCGTGCATCAAAGAGATAATATCGAGAGTCTGTGAAAAAATCGCCAACTCTAGTATTTCTCTCTAATTACTCCATAAATTTTTTTATTTATCATTTTTAATTTATTTTGAAGCTTTTGAAATCATTTGCAAAAGCCCTATACAGATCCGTGGTTTTTTTGCTCCAATATTCACTGATATCGTGCATCATAGATCTAATATCGATGAACAATAAAAAATTACAAATATCTAATATTTTTCTCTAATTTATCAACAATAATGTTCTGATTATTATTATTTTGTTAGATATTGAAATAACTTGAAAACCCCTATATTGCTTTATGCTTTTTTGCTCCAATATCGTTTGATTTATGGCATCATAGTGGTAATAGCGATGAACTATACATGTTCCACGAAATCTACTGTTTCTCCCTAATTACTCAACAATTTTGTATGATTGTTTATTTATTTCGAATCTATTGATATCACCTTAAAAAACCCTATATAGATTCATCTTTTTTTCTGTTCTAATATCAATTGATTTTGTACACCAAAGAGGTAATACAAATGAACTATAAAAAAAATTGAAAAATCTATTATTTCTTTCTAATTTCTCAACAATAATTTTTTGATTGTTAGTTTTTTTTTTTTAATCGTGTTTTTTGTTTTTAAAAGATAATGAAACAAACTTGTAATCTCCTATACTGGTATGTGTTGTTTTGCTCCAATATCTATTGATTTAGTGCATTATGGATATAATACAAACCGAAATGTCTAATTCTAAGTAACATAGACCTTGTTCTAGAAGCAATTAAAATTTATATATTACAATATATATTCTTCTTCAGCGTTTACATTAATAGGTTTAAAAGATGACGATTGAGGATCAATTTTGGCAATATGGAGATAAGCTCGATGGTAAGAAAAAGGGGTGGGTCCGATGCAATTTATGTGTAAAGGAGATGACAAGTGGCATTAATCGCCTGAAACATCAGCTTGCAGGATTCAAGATAATGTAAAGTCATGTGGCATGGTGCATGTGGTTGTTAAAAAAGATGTTCAAAAGGCAATAGAGATTGCCAAAGGGAAGAAGGTACAAAGAGAGATGATCATTGAGGATGTAGGGAGGGTATATTTTCAACTCACTCACCCATGATGAGGAAGAATTCGAAGCTCAGATGGAGCAAGCAAAACATGCTAGTCTAGCAGAGTATTACGATTGGCAAATGCAAATCGATGTGATGTTTGCTAGATAGGGAGGAGCTTCTAATTCTCATGCTCCAAAGCCTATAGTATCTCCTGAGTCTCTAGTAATGAGACTGTCTTTCTCGTCCCGACCTACTACCACTAGTTGGCCATCAACTACCTACCGATCCCATCTCATTCTTGACCTTCGATCCTATGTTGACTCCAACTCCCAACCCTTGCCCCAACCTGAGCCCTCTAGATTTGACACCCATGTACCCCAATACCATTAAACGAAACTTATTATCTCATGAGGAGAAAGCCGAAACTATGAGAAAGGCAATTGCTAGATTTTTTTATCATATTGCCACCCTATTTATAGTAGCAAAGTCCCCATATTTTTGACCTATGGTGCATGATATAGCTGATGCCGGGGTAGGAGCCAAACCCCTTACTATTGCAGAGCTTATCTGGAAGCTTTTTGATGATGAGGTTACTTTAATACAATCACACATCAAAGAATTGAAAAGGGCATGGGATAATACTGGGGTCACATTTATGTCTGATGGTTGGAAAGATGGGCGAAGAAGGCTTATAGTGAATTTTTTGACCTATTGCCCCAACAGTATTTTTTTCAGTCTAATATAGATCTTTGACATAAGAGAAGGACATGCATATTATTATTCATGGAGCTCGATAAAGTTGTCGAAGATATTGTGGAAGACAAAGTGGCACAGTTAGTCATTGATAATCATAAAAGTTATATCAAGGCAAAGAAATCTTGATAAGAAAGAGATTGCATTTAGTTTGGACCCCTTACACTACACATTCTATAGATATGATACTAGAGTACATTAGTCATATAAAGGAAATGAGCAATTATATTAAGAAGT